CTTCACGCTCTCCCTCTCGGACTCCAATTGCTTTCTCTCCAACTTGGGCGGAAACCACCCAAGCTCTTTATACGGCTAGCAAGCCAATTGCTAGCCGCCACATGTGCATAATTTAACACAAGCCAATAATGGGGCTCGAATTAAAATACAAATGGCAGGAACTCCTTTGCACCGTGCATTTCTGAGATGCAAAAGAAATGCACCATGCAAAGAAAGCTACAAACTGGCGGGAAATTCTCCATTGCACCGGAGTTCTCCTCTGTAGCAGAGAACTCCACCGTGCAAAGAAGCTGCAATTTGGCGGGAAAATAATTTAGCAGTGCTGAAGCGCACACAAAACAAAAATCACAACTTTGGGTTGTGACACCTCCCAGCACACACACACTATGCTTCAACCTCTACACCCAGCTGTGGAGTATTCTTCTAGTGCTGACATGGACCCGCAGGCATCCTCTTGCCACCCCTCTTGGACCCCACGTAGATGGTGGGGCCAAGAATGAGGAGAGAGCCTATGACAGCCTGGGAGGCTGTTCCCTGCCGCATACATTGATTCAGAATAGCTTCATGATACCAAAGTATCTATAAACAGTGTTGCCTTGTAACATAAGCCACCCTCTGGAGATACCCAGCCATGTATTTTTTTAACCAAGTTAGGACTTGGGGCTGGGTATGACACTGAGGGCCAAGTGCTATTCCACCTATCAGGCACTGAAGTGGACCTGTTTGAGTTCTTGAAAAACTGACAATACAAAAGATGGAGGCTCCTCATCCTACTCAATGCTTTTTTGTGACTTAGTCTTAAGGCTAAATGGACAGCAGGTTACAAAGGAGGTGTCTTAATGGATCTGTAGGAATTTCCCATTTGAGGAGCTTGCAGCAACCTGTACCACAGCCACAACGACAGCAGCCCCTGTGTAAGGAGGTAAATGCTCACATCCTCTGTCTTTCCACCCCTCCCTGTGCTCTCTACCCTGGTGTTGCCCATGGCACCAATGTCAAGTTACAGCTCTGAAAGGCACAGTGTCTGTAATAGTTTATAACAATTAAAATCCACATCCTTACTGGCACAGGGCTTGACTTTGATTGTAAAGTAGGCATAGCTTTAGTGGAGGAAGAGGGAGGCTGAAAAAATGACTGCGTGTTTGAGCCCAATTGCTATTGACTGTTGAGCACATCATTTTTTTTTTTAACGTCTCACAATCTCAGGGAGTGATTTCCACCACTTTTAGTGCTGCATCTTTAAAGTTTTGATTTGAACAATAGTAGACATTTAGCTGTGTGATCCAGGAAGCAATCTCTAGATACTTCAGAAATACAGCAGGGTCAGCAGCACTCAGTCTTCAGCAGTTTATGAGTCACTTCACCGAGTTGCAGGGAGCCACAAAATAATAGACGAATGAGAATCTGATGTTGCATCAGTATAACACTGCCAGTGGAAATTTCCTCACAGATCACCTATCCTCTCTCTCCTTCCCTTGACTACTGAGAGATGTAGGAGGTTTCTTTCTGTCTCTCTTTCTCCCCCCCTAGTGCTAATTAGGAAGGAAGCTCTGGCTGCCATGCATGTATCAGCCAGAATGGGATGTGTTTTAGTGCTAGGGATTCTGCTTGCTTTTCCTGATAAACATCTTGAAGCAAGTGGATTGCTAGTCAGATGTGTTGAGTTCAGAGAAACTACACATATGGTCAATAGGATGCACAGTTCCTGAGCTAATGGTTCAAGGTTCACTACTAAATAACCCTGTTCTGAAAATGGTGCGAATCAAATTGGTTTGCACCTGCCTAAAATTTGCTGAGCTGGTTTGCGCTGTAACGTGGATGCTAGTTTATTAATGGGACTGACTTTTGTGTTGCTCTTTCCAGGCCATTCATCGTGCTGCCACCCCTGATGGAATGGATAAGGGTTGCCTTGGCCCATGCAGGGTACCGTCGTAGCTTCTCCGTGGATAGCGATGATGTACGGCAAGCAGCAAGGCTCTTGCTACCCGGAGTTGACTGTGAGCCTCGACAGTTAAAGTAAGTCTGGGCAAAGAAAGAATGTTCTGAAAAACCTCTCTCTCTCATAATGACAGTGATTTAAACAGCATTAGATATACAGGATGCTCAGACTCTTCTCTCTGCAGTTTGTTAAATCAGCTGCTATATTTGTTCACCCGCCTGTGTGAGCCAGTTTTAGAAGCTGCATGGCAATGGGTGCCTCAGTATCTAGCAGCTGGATCAAGCCCTTCATCTGCTTATCAAATCTTGGTTTTCCTTTTACCGTTAGGTTCTCTTTTCTAATGAGGGAACAAAGTCTTCAGCTAATTGTCTGCTTCTCTGTGCTCCAGTGGCAAAATACTGAGATGTAACTGACAGGGCTGCAAATATTTTTCACTGCCTTGTTTTCTGCAGCAGTGGTTTAATCAGCACATTTACACTTGCAGGTAAAAACAGCTCTTGCAGTACAATCATATTTTAATACTCAAATCTACTTCATGCAAAGATGTTGTAGATCTAAATAATTCAATTCCCATTTTTTTAATCGAGAAATAACCTTTTGGTTTTCTAATGAGGCCCTAAAGTTTGTATTCTCAGTATGTATTTTTAGGTGCTGCTTTACCTTCTTTCTATATGCATGGATAAAAGTATCATCCGAGGACATGCTGGAATCTGGGAGATATTTGTTTCA